ATATACATACACACACGCACACATACAAACACATACACACACACACACACACAACACACACACACACACACACACACACACACATACACACACATACACACACCACAACACATACACATACAACAAACAAACAAACACACAAACAAACAGACACACCCGTGCGAATAACGTAATAACGTAAATAGTGAATAACAACAGATCTAACAAGAAAATAGATAATAAATGATAGAACATTAATTTTCTTTACAGAATCGAGATAATTTCGCTGCGGAGATTAATCAGTAATAAGATAAAAACGAGGATTAGGAGAGCGAGATTTAGAGAAGGGATTTTATTTTATTTTTTTTTTTTTAGAATTAATGTGTTTTATCGGTCTTTTTTCTCTCTCTGTCTTCTCTCTCTGTCTCTGCTGTCTCTGTCTCTGTCTCTCTCTTCGTCTATTTGTCTCTCTCTCTTCTGGTCAACTTAAGTACTTTATGTATCAAAAAATATTATGCTATGTTTACTCTTTTTCTTTTTTTTGTTATTCTTTCTCTTTTGCTTTGATATAATTACCTCTGCATGATTTTCATACAGTATATTTCCTCCATCTCCAAGAATTTGATCAAATGTCAAATTGCGTAATATGCAATCAAAATTCCCGCCATATTTGCACCAACAAAAAAAAGCTTAATCGATGCAAACGAGTCTTTCAACAGCTCCCCTCAGGCTAGCGTCCGAGCCTAGTCAGCGTCCATAATGAGACCTCAGACTCTCGTTAGTTCTCGCGAGGCCCGAGGTTTTACGAGACGTCCCGCGCTAACGTGTGGCCATTCGTCCGATGCGTATCACGGAGGGCGGGCCGCTCGGTGTCTAATTTGACAGGGCTAACCACGCGTTCGGGCGTGATATATCCGTTGCATTTGGCGGGAAAATGGGTTTATTTGCGAGCCAGGAGGGACGCTTTGGACGCTCTTCATTGTTTTAAGAGCCTGTAGTTTCTGGGTTTTGTCGGGCAATCTACCTCGGGCTATTTCGCCGTTCCTCAGAAAACGGATCTTGCGCGCGTGATTCATGGTTCTTCCCGTTTTCTATATTTAGGAATGGGGGGAACTCGTGCGTTTTCAATTATTAAATCAAAAAAAGATAAAAAGAGTTATTCCGCGGTGTTCAAATTCCACTTAGAGCGGCCATTCCGAGGTGGCGCCGGCCCGGTATTACGAGTGACATATCGTTTGCTAATTCCCTCGCTATAACGGACTCAGGGAGGTTTATGACGGCCGTTATTTGCATGTTTATATGATCCATTCTCTTGTACTTTCCTTTGTACAGATAGATATTCGTGGACAAACGGCCCCCACCCACGTGTACACGGATACTGACTCACCTATACGCACACATACATATACACTCGTACACATATACGCTCAGAAGCACGTATTTGTGCTGTGTGTGTGTGTGTGTTTGTGTGTGTGTGTGTGTGTGTGTGTGTGTGTGTGTTTGTGTTTGGGGCGTGTGTGTGGGAATGCGGCATTGTGTGTGTGTGTGTGTGTGTGTGTGTGGTGTGTGGGCGTGTGTATGTGTGAATGCGGCTATTTGTAGTGTATGTATGTATATCGTGTATATATTTCACGCGCCTATATCTCCATATCAATCTCTGTGCAAAATATCCATAAACTCACTCTTAAACATCACAATTCAACACGCAAAAATCCCCCCCCTGCACCAAAGTCTTCCAAAAGGAGGACAGTCACCCTGCACCTCCACCCCCAACACCTTCACTTCCACTCCACCTCCACCCCAACCCCGCCTTCACTTCCACTTCCACCTCCACCCCCCCTCCACCTTCACTTCCACTCCAAGTCTCACCCACCTTCTCCCCAATCGGTTGCTGCGGCGCCAGGTCACCTCCACCCCCACCTCTCCCCTCCGCCTCCATTCCCAGCTCCACCTCCAGCTTCACCTCCACCCTCACCTCCAAGTCTCCCCCCCAGATCGGTTTCTGCGCGTTAGGGGTCCACTCCACCTCCCCCACCCTTACTCTACCTCACCATCAACTCCACTTCTACCTCCACCCACCCCCCCTCTACTTCCCCCTCCCCTCCAACCTCACCGCCCATCTCTCCCCATCTCACGCTCCCCCACCCACCCATCAAGTCTCACCCCCCCACCTCCCCCACCTCCACCTCACCTCCCCCACCACCCACCAAGTCTCCCCCCCCTCTCCCCCCCAGGTCGGTGTGCGCGCCAGGGGTCCACCTCCACTCCCACCCGCACCCCCTCCTCCACCCCCACCTCCACCTCCACTTCCCCTCCAACCTCACCCCATTCCCACTCCCCCTCCCTCTCCCCCTCCACCTCCCCCACCCCCTCCTTACCTCCCCCTCCACCTCCACCCACCCACCAAGTCTCACCCCCTTCTCCCCCCCAGGTCGGTTGCTGCGGCGCCAGGGGTCGGCCGATTACGTGCGCTGGAACAAGGTCATCCCCAAAACTTGCTATGACCCCATTACCGGAAATGCCTGGTAAGTGAGTGGCCGGTTTAAAAGGGTCTTCGTTATAAGGGGTTAAGGATTGTATCTCAGTTTTATTATTATCAATTTATTTACTTTTTATTTTTCTCCATTTTTTCATTAATTACGTTTTCTTAATCGCTCTTTTCTTTTCTTCTTCCACATCTTCATCCATTTTTTTTTTCTTCTTCCTCCTCTTCTTTTTTCTTCCTCCTCCCCTTCATCTTCTTCTTCTTTGCCTACTTCATCTTCTTTCCAACACCTGTCATGATTCCCATTACGGGAATTGCCTGGTAAGTGAGTGGCCGTTTAAAAAGTCTTCGTTATTAGTGGGTTAATGATTGTATATTATATATATAATATATATATATATATATATATATATATATATACATATATATATATATAATAAGTATATATATATGTATAATATATATATATGTATATATATATGATAATATATATATATATATATATATATATATAATATTATATATGTTGTGTGTGTGTGTTGTGTGTGTGTGTGTGTGTTTTTGTGTGTATGTTGTGATTATTATTTTTGTATTTTAAACAATTTCTTTGTCATTCTCTTTCTTCTTTCACTTCTTGTTTGTTTGTGTACTCCTCTTATATTTTTTTCCTCCTCCATTCTTCCTTCTTTTCTAACATTTTCTTCTTTACTTCTTCTTCCCTTCCCTCCTTCTCGCCCAACATTTCATTCCTCCCTCTTCTTTCTTCTTCTTCTTCTACTTCTGCGCTTTCTTTTTTCCTCCTCCTCCTTCTTCTCCTTGTTCTTGTTCTTCTCCTTTATTCCTCCCTCCTCCTTCCTCCTCCTTCTTCTTCTCACCTCCTCCTCTTCCTCCCTCCTCCTCAACTCTTCTATTTCTTTTCTTCTTCTTCTCTTTTTCTTTCCTTCCTTATTTCTCCTCTTCTCCTCCTCTCCTCCTACTTCTTCTCCTCCTCTTCTTCTTCTCCTCCTCCTCCTCTTTCCCTCCGCCTCCTCCTCTTCCTCCTCCTCTCTCTCCTCCCTTCCTTCTTCTTCTTCTTCTTCTTCTCCCTCTCCTCCTCTCTCCTTCCTCCTCCTCTCTCCTCCTCTTCTTCTCCTCTCTCTCTACCTCCTCCTCCTCCTCCTCCTCCTCCTCCCTCCTCTCCTCCTCCTCCTCTTCCTCCTCTCCTCCCTCCTCCCTCCTTCCTCCTCCTCCTCCTCCTCCTCCTCCTTCCTCCTCCTCTCCTCCTCCTCCTCCTCCTCCTCTCTCCTCCTCCTCCTCCTCCTCCTCCTCTCCTCCTCCTCCTCCTCGCCTCTCCTCCCTCCCCTCCTCCTCCTCCTCCTCCTCCTCCTCCTCCTCCTCTTCCTCCTCTTCTCATCACCTGCTATGACCCACCCTTAGGACGAGCGTAGGAAGTGAGTGGTCGGTTAAAAAAGGTCTTTGTTATTAGAGGGTTAAAATCATTTTTTTTGTAGCTTATTCTTTCCTTTGTTATTGTTTTTTGTTTTGTTTGGGCTATTTTGGGTTATTTTTTCTTCTTCTATTCTTTATGATAGTTATTTTATTAACTTTTTTTTTATGTTTCTTTTTTTTCTTTTTCCTTTCCTTCTTCTTCTTCTTTTTGTTATCATCATCATTGATTATGATTGTTATTGTTATTATTATTACTACTACTACTAGTAGAACTGTTATTATTATTAATCATCATTATTTATCATAATTATCATCTTTGTTTTTTGTTTCTTGTTCTTCTTCCTTTCCTCCTTTTTTTGCTTGTTCTACTTCCTCCTCCTCCTACTCGCCCTCTTCTTCTTGTTCTTGCTCTACTTCCTCCTCCTCTTCTTCTTTTTCTCCTACTCCTTTTTTTCTTCTTGTTCTACTTCCTCCTCTTCTTCTTCTTTTTCTCCTTCCTCCTACACCTCCTCCTCCTCCTCCTCTTCTTCTATTTCTGATTGTTCGACATCCTCTTCTTCCCTATTTTACTCTCCCCCTCCTCCTCCTCCTCCTCCTTCTCTCCTTTCCATACCTTTTCTTCTTCTTTATTTCCTCCTATTCTTTCTCTATTCTGCTTCTTCTTCTTTTCCCTGCACCCGCTTTCTTTCTTCTACCACCTTCTTCTTCTTTTCCTTCTCCTTCTTCTTCTCCTTTTCATACCTTTTTATCTTCTTCCTTTCCTCCTATTCTTTCTTCTTCTATTCTACTTCTTCTTTTTCACTACTTCGCCTTCTTTCTTCTACTTCCTCTCCTCCTCCTCCTCTTCTTCTTTTCTTTTATTTCTTCTTCTTCCTCTTTTTCTCTACTTCGCCTTCTTTCTTCTACCTCCCTCCTCCTCCTCCTTCTTCTTCTTCTTTTTTCTTTTATTTCTTCTTCTCCTCTCATCTTTTTCTCTACTTCGCTTCTTTCTTCTACCTCCTCCTCCCCCTCCTCCTCTTCTCCTTCTTTTTCTTTTATTTCTTCTTCTTTTTTTTCTCTACTTCGCCCTTTCTTCTACCTCCTCCTCCTCCTCCTCCCTCCTCCTCCT